TTTTTTTTTTTTTAATTAAAAACATCTCAAAGCTCAAACCAAAGCAGAATATTGTTTCAGAGCAAAAATAGAAAATAAGAATGTTATAACCTAGAATTACTATTTTTGTGGCTTTCCTCTCCTTTTCTAACATATTTCTATAGGAAGGAAGGAAAAAGAAAGGAAAGAAAGAAAGGAAAAGAAGGAAGAAAAGATAAAAGGAGAGAAAGAAAAAGAAAATTGACAACTTTTTTGGAACATATGCAGCTTTTTGCTAAAACTGAGAACTCTTGCTTCTACATTTAGGTATTCCAAATGATGCGGGAGAGATCACACTGATACCAATTTCCATGAACACAAATCAGGACTCCAAAGTCAAAAGTCCTATATCACTTACTGCTCAGTCATTAATTGGTTCTTCTCCCAAACAAACCTATCTGGCTAAAGCACAAGAGGTACATCCAACTGGAATAAGCAGACCGAAGAGAACTGGGTCCTTAGCACTGTTTTATAGAAAGGTACGTGTTTTTATAACCCCTGAAAAGATCTCATTTAATCCGCGTAAGAAAGATTGAATAACGGAGCAGCTTTAACCTTCTTTTTTGAGTGTGTGTGGTAAAATACACATAACCATTTTTAAGTTTACAATTAAGTGTCATTAAGAGTACATTCACATCGTTGTGCAGTTTTCACCACCACCCATCTTCAGAACTTTTTTACCTTCCTAAGGTGAAATTCTGTACCCATAAAACAGTAATTCCCCATTCCTCTTACTCTTCCCCACCACCATCCCCTGGTAACAACCATTCTGTTTTCTGTCTCTATGAATTTGACTACTCTAGATACCTCATATAAATAGAATCATACAATATTTGTCCTTTTGTGAGAGGCTTATTTTATTTAACGTATTTTCAAGGTTCATATGTGTCGTAGTCTGTGTCAGAATTCCCTTTTTAAGACTCTGTGTGTGTGTGTGTACCATGTTTTGTTTATCCTTTCATATGTTGATTGACATTGGGTTGTTTCTACTTTTTGGGTATTACGAAAAATGCTGCTATGAACATTGGTGTACAAATATCTATTCAAGTCTCTGCTTTCAGTTCTTCTGGGTATATACCCCGAAGTAGAATAGTAATTCTAAATATGGTTTTTTGAGAAACTACCATATTACTTTCTACAGTGACTACACTGTTTTATATTCCTGCCACAATGCACAAGGGTTCCAAGTTCTCCACATCCTTGTCAACATTTATTTTCTGTTTTGTTTTTTTAAATAATAGCCACCCTAATGAGTATGAACCACAGTAGTTTTTATTTGTGATTTTCTAGTGATTACTGATGTTGAGTATCATTTCATGGGCTTATTTGCCATCTGTATATCTTTGGAAAAATGTCTGTTCAACTCCTTTGCCTCTTTCTCTATGGAGTTTTTGGTGGTTGTTGAGTTGTAGAAGTTCTTTATACTGATTAATAATCTCTCATCAGATATATGATTTGGAAATACATTCTATGAGTTGTCTTTTCACTATGTCGATAGGGTATTTTGATGCACAAAAGTTTTTAATTTTGATGAAGTCTGATTTATCTTTTGTTGTCTTGTGCTTTTGGTGTCATATCCAAGAAATTGTCCGTTCCAAAGTCATTAAGCTTTTCCCCTATGTTTTCTTCTAGCAGTTTTATAGTTTCAAAATTATATTTAGATGTTTGATCCATTTAGAGTTAATTTGTATATGGTATAAAGTAAGGATCCACTTTCATTCTTTTACAGTGGATATCCAGTTTTCTCAATACCATTTGTTAAAAAGACTGTTCTTTCCCCTACTGAATGGTCTTGGCAGCCTTGTCAATACTCATTCGGCCATATACATGAGGGTTTATTTTGGGACTGTCTATTTCATTGGCCGCTTTATGTCTGATTTATGCTAGTACCTTACAGTTTGATTACTGTAACTTTGTAATAAGTTTTGAAATCAGGAAATGCGAGCCCTCCAACTTTGTTCTTCTTTTTCAAGATTATTTGGCTATTCATTCCCTTGAGATTTCATATAAATTTTAGGATGGATTTTTCCATTGTTGCAGAAAACATCATTGGGGTTTTGATAGGGATTACATTGAATATGTAGATTGCTTTGAGTAGTGTTGACATCTTAACAATATTAAGTCTTCCATCCATGAATATGGAATGTTTTCTCGTTTGTTTGTATATTCTTTCATTTCCTTTAGCAGTGTTTTACAGTTTTCAGTGTATAAGTTTTGCCTCTTTGGTTAGGTTTACTCCTAAGTATTTTATTCTTTTCATGCTATTGTAAATGGAATCACTTTCTTAACTTAGTTTTTGGATTGTTCATTGTTAGCGATGTAGGAATGAAAGTGATTTGTGTGTGTTAATTTTGTATCCTGCAACTTTGCTGGATTTGTTTATTAGTTCTAACTTTTTTTATGGAGTCAAGGTTTTCCAGTTTTCTAAACATAAAATTATGTAATCTGCAAATGGAGATAATTTTACTTATTTTCCAATTTGGATGCCTTTTATTTCTTTTTCTTGCCTAATTGCTCTGGCTAGAACTTCAGGTACTACGTTGAATATAAATGCTGAAATTGAGCCTCCTTGTCTTGTTCCTTAGGGGAAAAGCTTTTTGTTGTTTCACTTTGCATATGATGTTATCTGTGAATTTTTCAAATATGATATTTATTATGTTGAGGTAGAATCCTTCTATTCCTAGTTTGTTGACTATTTTTTATACCAAAAGGGTGTTGAATTTTGTTAAATTCTTTTTCTACATCAGTTGAGATGATCATATTTTTTCTTCATTCTATTAATGTACTATATTAACACTAATTTTCATATGTTAAACTATTCTTACATTCCAGGAATAAATCTTGCTTGGTCATAGTGTAAGATCCTTTTAGTGTATGCTGTTGCATTCAGTTTGCCAGTATTTTGTTAAGGATTTTCGTATTACTTTTCATAAGAAATAGGGGTCTGTGGTTTTCTTTTTTTAAATAATATCTTTGTCTAACTTTGGTATAAGGTAATGTACCTTTAGCCTTTTTTAAAAAACATATTTGACTTCTTAAGAGAACATTTTGATCTTGGTGAGCTATGGTTTGACTCCATTTGCTTGTGTTCTTATATAACTTTAAGTAGTTGACCATCCTCTGGAATTTACTGAAACTCCATTGTGTTATGTTGCTGTAGATGGGAGTTCATTGTGGGACAAGTATATCCTAGATCTTATGGATGAGCTTAAATCACTGAAGAATCATTATAAAGATTGGCAGAATACTGCAGGGAGGCTACATAGTTTTATCATAAATCCAGTGTGTTACTTTTTAAATTAAAATTTGAACAGTTTTCATTATAATGCCTAAATTATTTTAGTATTAGTGAAAAGGGGCTGAAAGATTTAACATAGAAATAATTTTAACTTGTCCTACCTGTTTTTTATAAACATCATCAGCTTCTGATAAGACAGACATGTTATCAGATATTTGTAAGCAAATATGACTCTTTAAAAAAATCCCAGAACTGAAAGATAATCTCCAGTCTACCCTGCAACTAGATGGCTGGCTAGCCCATCCTTAAAAATTGTAAAGGAAAAAGAAGGCACTGGTTATATATGTATACTACAGTGATTAGAGTTTAAGACTTAACATTTTTAAGAAATTTATGATTTTTTTCCAAATTATCTCTTAATGCAAATCTAAATTTATTTCCTCTAGTCTTTCTTATAATATTTCTTGAGAAACTTGCCCTTTCTACACCTCCTACTGCATTCTCTACTCTGCTCCCTACCCAGTCCTACCCACCTCTTGTGCCTAAGGCCCATTTCAAAAACAGTTTCAAATGCAGCATTTTCCATATTCATTCCCTATTTGTAATTTTCAAAATGGCAAATTACTCTCTTTGATAATGAATCTAAAATTAGCAAAAGAAAGGCTTTATTTCTCAATTTTTAATTCAAAATTTATTTCAGAATCTAGTCTTTTTCTTTTCATTTAATTAGAGCCTACTTGGTATAGATTAGAAGCTAGAAAAATTTTAAATGTCATATCTATAACGAATTCAGAATAACCATTCCTTGAGTAAATTGTAGCTACTACCCATTCTGAACTCAATGTGATGCTATTGTTTTATGCCTAATAGAATTTACTGTGAAATTTTGTTAGAATTCAAGAATTTGTATATCTTGAAGGCATTGGATCAGCTCTGTGGAAGACACCTAACAAGTATAACTTAATTAGATATTATTTTTACACCTTCTAGCTAGTATTATATCTGTTATCGCCTCACATCTCGAGCATAAAGTTCTAGCATCTTTCTCGCTGCTTTGACCCTAGTGGTTCCTGTTTATCTTTTGGCCAGCTAGACCAGAAACAAAACAATGGGATGCAGGAAATGATTTTACTATAAAATGAGTCATGGTTGGCTTTGGAGGCAACCACTTGTCTCTCTATCATATTAGTGTATTGGATAACTAATATTTGTTTTTAAGCTCTAATTCATGGATTTTTTTTTCCTGTCAAAGATATTTTTCTGTAAGGGATGCCTTTCCTTTCTCTTTTTCATTTTCTTTCCCTCAACATTTAAATTTAAAGACAGTTTGAACAGAATAGTCTAGTTTAGGAATACTACAGCAGGGTTACCAGTTCTTTTTTTTTTTTTTTTTTTTTTTTTTTTTTTTTTTTATCTCTACACCCTGGCCCTAGGTGGTCTCCCATCCAAGTACTAACCAGGCCTGATCTTGCTTGGCTTCCGAGATCAGATATCAGGCTTGTTCAGGGTGGCATGGCCGTAGGCCATGGACCGTGGCTCCACTGGGGCGTGAACCCAGGACCTTCTACACGTAAAGCAGACATGCTAACCGCTATACTATGGAACCATGTCCGGATTACTGGTTCTTAAAACTAAAACATAATGCTTCTGGTATTAGAAACTATTTTAGAATCTTGCAGGACCTTTGGGTCATTCACATTGGTATCAATTTATATAATGACTATATATATTAAAGCTTCAGGAGATTGAACTGAATTTATTCCAGCATACTTCAAAACAACAAAAAATCCTGGTATGTCATTTAACATTCCTTTCATGTGTTCATAACAATATAGGATATATGGGGAATTTTTTTTGATGATTTTTGCTTTCTGACTCATTTTTGGAGTCAAATATTTTAGTTCTCTATTTTCTGACATTTTAGATTTTCTAGCAATTTTACCTGCACAAAAAAAAAAGGTAAAGACTTGAATGCTTGAAGAATTATGTGTTCATAGTGGTCAGGATGCAGATGAATTTTGCATTTTACTGTTTCTCACTTTACCTAGATGGCAGCATAGAGTATTAGATGACATCTTTTCAAAAAAATTTTAAGGTAGTTTTCCAAAGAGAATTTTGCTTTAACCTACATTCTTCTGCTATAGCAGTGAACTAGTACTATATAGAATAGAAATTTTGTTAATCTTGGCCTCAAAGTCTATTATGTTCATCATAAATTTGAGAAATTATTTTTACTTGCTTTTTTGCATCAATGTGCTATCTTCCATCTCAGGTGTATCATTTGGCAAGTGTACGCTTACGTGATTTATGTTTAAAACTGGATGTTTCAAATGAGTTACGAAGGAAGATATGGACGTGTTTTGAATTCACTTTAGTTCACTGCCCTGATCTTATGAAAGACAGACATTTGGATCAGCTCCTCCTTTGTGCTTTTTACATCATGGCAAAGGTAATGTATAAATTGGGGGAGCTCTTTACCCTAGTTGCCTATATTTGAAGCATCAGGTGAAAATCTGTTGCACTTAATCGTCAGTTTGCCTTAAGTGTTATAAGCTAACAGTGCCCACCATTAGTAAATTCCAGCTACCACATCTATTCTTTGGATTCTCCATTTAATTTTATAATAATCAGTTTTCTCACTTCATAAGAACACATTGGTCGTAAAGAAGTTGGGAAAGGTCTTAGAGTTTATTTGTAGTAAGTAAGTGGCTCTCTCCACTATTAATGTGACACCATTTCCACCCCTACTTCTGTGACACCTCTATTCTGGTGTCACTTTAAAATAATACGATCATTACGTCGTAGCATTGTAGGTGAGTAACGAGGCCCAGAAGTGAAAGTAACTTGGCCAGAGTTACACAATAAGTGGCAACCTAGGACTTCCTGAATCATAATCTGGTGTAAAATCGTTTCTATAACATATTGCTTTCCAGCAATTTATTGTGCCACTTAAGAGCATTTTACTTTCTAGTTGCTACAATATGTTTTAAGTCATAAAATAGCATATTTCACTTGTTTTTAAAACCCGATATATCTGAAACAATCATCTGTAATCTTGGTCTTGACCATGTTGGCCAAACTGGCAGTCTTAGAAGATGTACATAGTTAAAACCAAATTAAGCTTTTTGAGACAGAGGACATTTTCACATTACTTTGTGACACCCCTCTCACAAAATCTAAAATCTCTGTGCAAAATAGGTGTTAATAAATGTTATTAACTAATCATTTGTGTTTTCCAGAGAACTATTGGAGTTCAGACTTTGCCATTTCTAGCTCAGCATTATGGGAAACGGGTTTAGTGCTAATGGACAGTGAAGCAAAGGAAAGGAGTAATTTAAGTAAATTTTATAAAGCATAGGCCAGAAGGCATTCCTTATGGGTTACTAATCCATTTTCTTCCTTTTGGCCACCACTGTGACTTCTCTATCCAAACATTAGAAACCATATAGTTTGTTTTGAAATGTTAAAAGCCTAATTCTATAATAACTGCTCATTTTTATTGTGAATCACCACATTTTCTATCCTTTAGGATGTGGTTAATTTACTTTCAAGTAAGTACTTAAAAACTAATAAAACTGGTTACTCTAGGAGATTCAGCAGATCTGAGTTTTCTTTTATAATTCTCTTTATAAAGAAATGTATTTTCAACAGAGTTATACCATAGCAATCTCAGTGCTTTTGATTAATGAAACTGTTTGCTGAGTCCCCACAGGCCACAAAGCTTGAACGTTAAAGGTAGTAAAAATCATAAATGGTAATGGTTTTTAGTCATGGACTGGCTTGGGGTCAATGGCTTTCTGCAAGACTGTTCTCAGTGCCAGCCTATAATTGAAGTTTTTGTCCAGAACCATTTTTCTTTTAGGAGCATTTGATAAATGCAGTTTTCTTTTCCTTAGGTAACAAAAGAAGAAAGAACCTTTCAAGAAATAATGAAAAGTTACAGGAATCAACCCCAAGCTAATAGTCATGTGAGTTATATTATTTTTCTTCTTGTCTGTCCAAAATTAGATTTGTACTATTTCTCTAATGACAAGTCATATAAAAGGTAAACTTTTTTTATAGTTTTACTATATTTTATATTTTTTGGTTTAACAGATATCATTAAATTTAAGAGACAATCTTAGTAGAAGCCAGGAAATTGGCTGTTCTGACTTATCTGTATATCTGCATTTACTTCTTAAATGTTCTCCTCCTCCATTTGTTCATTTGTTGAGTGGGAACATTTTTCACTAGAAAATTTAATGAAAAATATATGTAAAATAATATTTTTTAATTGTATGAGATTTAATTCTCTGAGGATGTTGAAATCCATTGAAATTTGAGGACTTATTAACTTAAATCAGTTTGTTTGGCCATCTGCTAAGAATCTTAGTGTTTGTCTCTTTTAATAGATGTCAAGCATTTCTGATTATGTTAGCATAGCCATTGTTAAGAATCTTGTACAACTTTTCAGTCAAGGAAATATAAAGTATTCATGTAGTGGCCTGGCATATAGTAAACATTAATGACTGTTAGTTCCATATTATTATTGTAGCTGAAGAACACAGAGTTAGATTACCTTAAGACTTTGGCCTTTCAAGAGCCTAGTTGCTCTGCTCTAAGGGAGCATAATGGCCCCTTCTCTGGCCCCAGTGATCTGCCTGCCATCTTAGACAGGGAGAGAGGTATAGTGGCTCAGATCTCCCAGGCTAGAGTACTGGTAGTGATACCACCTTCTAAGAGAGCCCCACAAATAGTTTCACTTCTTTACTTAAGCTCCCAAATACACTGTGAGTGATATAGAGATATTAGAAAAGCCAAGTACAAGTATTTGTTATATCTTGTGACAGGCTGGGAATTTCTGGGACTCGTCAGAAAAATCCCTCAGGAACAGAACCTAGAGAGGTCCAGATTGTCCCTAAAGATCATTAAGGTAAAGTTAGTGTGTGTCAAAAATGGGCCAAGCGAGAGCTTCCTAAATATCTTCTCATTACTAATACGCATAGAAGAGAGGGAATGGATCATGCCTATCTGCTGTCTTGGAGGTAGGAAAGAGTTTAGGGGCAGGGAGGGGACAGATTTTCATGTGGCCATCCAAAAGCAGATGGGAATGGGATGGGAGCAGGAAAACAAGCCCCAGTGAAAGCAAATGATTCTCTGGTAAGGTATTAAAAGAAGGAACAAAGTCAGATCTTCAAAGTTACTTTTATTTGGCAAAACCTGCTCATCAGTGTTTAGTTGCTACTTACTTACTCAATTCTTCTATTTTGTAAACTACTATAATGGCATATTTTAGGTGTAGGCTCTACATCAGTATTTTCTCTTCTTAGATATTTACCAAACTAATAACATCTTGCCCTTGATTATCACCCTTACAGACAAGTACTTTTTAATTGGCTTTATATTTTGTTCTTCTCATTTTGGTTTTGCTTAATCTGTGCCTCTTTGTGACTCAGCAGTCCTTTTTTCCCCTCCGACCTATAGGTCTATAGAAGTGTACTGTTGAGAAAAGAAATTGTGGCTTACAGTAAAAAAATAAATGGTGATTTTGAAATGACAGATTCTGGTAAGTTGCCCAATTTAACAATCTATATGTAATCCATCTTCAATTAAATTCTATATAATACAGTGGATGTCAGACAACATTGAATCAGTGATGTAGGTGGGATGGATAATGCATATGTGTTTTGGGAAGAAACAAATAAGTTTGAGATAAGTGTGGGTCATGTGCCTCCTCCAAAGAGGTTATGTATTGAAACCATTAATTTGTCCTCTGTTAATTGTATTTTAGAAGTTTTCTAGTCTACTTATACATATTATTAAAACACATAAAAAGCACTTAAATTTTTAAAATCCACGGGTCTCCGCTTTATCCACAGTTTTGCTTTCCTTGATTTCAGTTACCCATAGTCAACTGCAGTCTGAAAATACTAAGTAGAAAATTCCAGATATTTTGAAAGAGACCACATTCATAACTTCTATTATAGTATATAGTTAGAATTATTCTATTTTCTTATTAATTATTCTTGTTAATGTCTTACTGTGCCTAATTTATAAATTAAACTTTATCATGGGTATGTATGTATAGGATAAACAGTATATATAGGGTTTAGTACTACCCGTGGTTTCAGACATCCACTGGAGGTCTTAGAACATATCCCCCATGGATTGTGGAGAATACTAGAAATCTGAATAACAGGGAAAGTAAGATAGCTGTCAGTGATCTGCCTGGGGAGACAATTAAGGAAATGTCCTTTTTATTAAAAAGTATATAGGTATTCTGCCATCACTGACAAGGCTGCTATCCTGTTGCTACTATCATGCTAAGACTTGAGGCACTAGTAATTTTTTTTTTCTACCTCTAGTTTCAGAAATTGCATTAAACATTTCTTATTTTTATTATCCATCCTTTACAAAGAAGATAAGAAATTTCTCAAGTCCACTTTTGGATTCTTTTGGGATTTACTCTAAGCAACATTTTTAGTTGAGAGAAGTGTTTCTTTGTTAGCATTCTTTGAGTGAGTGTTGACTGTCCAGATGTTAGTGTTCTGAAAATCAATACTGGGCTCTTCTTGCCTTTGGAACGAGACATGTCATGATTTAGGTTGTAGAACTTAAGAGTCTCTCTGGTGCCTTCAGGCTGAGTTTACTCAGAGTGGTAGGATTGCTCTTCAGTGCTGATGGAAAGCTTCTGCTTTTACCATGATGTTTAACTGTTTTGTTGCATGCTTTACAAGTAATAAACAATACAATTTTGGAGTCTTTGTATTTTTCCACAATTGCTTCTTTAAAACTGTATAATTTCTTGCTTCTCAGTTAAGAAGTTTCTGTATTTTGGGTGTCAGTTTGGGCTTGGGTTTGAGGTACACTCGAGAGTTATCCAGAACCAGCAACTGGAACCAGTGTGGACATGTTTCTTCAAAAGTGCTTTTAGTATAAGAGATAGTGGGCCTGGCCCAGGCGGCTATCTTGCGGTTTCTATGCCACAGCTTCAACGTAGTGCTTCTGCCTTATCACCACTGGCATCCCCACACCACTAAGGCCCAGTAAAAAAAAAAGGCACTGGTAATTTTTTTTTCAAAGAAAGAAAATCAGATTTTCAGTATTCACATGTTGATAAGTTGTGAAATTGCTTCTCCTGCCCCTCTCCTTTCCTTGTCTCATCTTATTATTATTTAATGTATATATATGTGTGTATATGTGTTATTAAATGTGGTACATTTAGATTGTTTCCAGTTATATACAGCTTTGTGAGGAAATCATTGTAGCTTAATCTTTGATCCCTAGAGAAAATTGTCTAAGTCAAAGACATTTTTTTTTAATTATACAAATATCCATGATCGTTATGGTGTCTACTAGGATCTGAACTTTTAAGATCTTATCAAAAAATTCTTTAATAATAATGGCCTAGAATCTGATCCTATTTAAGGATACATAGGCCAAGCACAGTTCTTTTTGTATAAATATATTACTCCTGAGTCTTTTCTAGACAATGAGAAATATATAAGACAGTAAACCTTATTCTCCCTCCAAACCCCTCCCCCCCCCGCCCAAAAAAACCCCTTTATTTTTATTACACATGTGGTTCTTCTGTCCCTACGAAAGCAGGCATCAGAGGTTAGATGGGAAACAATGTACTCTATGAGAAACAAAGTAACTGCCAGCAACTATCTGGGCTATAAGGACCAGTGAAGTTTGAGTATAAGTAAGCAAAAGGAAATATATCAGGGTTTCTTTCTGATACATTGTCTACCAATGTAGTTTGAGATGAGTGACAGTTAGCTACTCTCTACAACTTAAAGGTTTCAGATCAAATTTTTATTTATACATTTATTGATTAGATACTTATTAACAGGCAAACAAAAAACCATTCTTAAGATCCTATATACTGGTGATGGGACAGAGCAGGGAGAGTATCCAGTGATAATGGTCTCAGGAATAGCATTTGGTTAACACAAAGCCTGCTCATAGTAAGGTCTCAGTAAGTAGTATATGTTGGTTTGTTTATAAGCAATATAAACTTTATTATATTTTGTTAATGAGTATGGATCTTTAAGTTTGTTTGGTTTGGGGGGTTTTTTTTTTGTTTGTTTGTTTTTAAGCTAATTTGTCTAAGACCATATTCTTTGCTTAAAATTCTTTAAATGTTGAAAACTAGGTCACACACATACCAAAAAAAAATTAAAGCACATTGCCTCAGACAAAAATTCTATTTTCATACAAGATGTATAAAATTGATTACTGCATATTGGTAATTATAGGTGATTTTATTTCATATTATATATATTTTACAGTCACCAGATAGACAACCATATTAGCAGAGCACATTTTTGCTTGCTTTTAGATTATAGTGATGCCTTTTAGAGTTCACAAGAAACTGTCAAAATATCACCGAAATGGTCTAAAACCACTGAAGTTTTAAATTGGTCTGTGGTCAGTAGCTTTTGCATAACTGGAGCTGAATAACATTGCCCTCTCAATTAGAAAGCCAGTCGGAAATATTTACTGCACAGTTATTGTGAGGAGCAAAAAGAATGAGAGAGGGTGTGGTAAGAGAAATATAAAATAAATACAAAATGCCCTCTCCAGGGAAGTGCTGCTGTGCTGGTCAAGCCCATCATATCTCAACCTGATCCTTCGATTTTATAATAAATTCTGGTCTTCCTTTCATCCTAAAATAATTTTGCTTCTTTACTTTCTCCATTTTTAAGTGGTAAGAATCACAATATTTGCCTTTTCTTAATCTGAAGACTAGTGATAGTATGTGCAATGAAAGCAGCATCAGTCCTTTGAGCAGCTCTTCTGCAGGTGATGGATGGGCTTCATCAATATGTGCATCCCAATTTGAGTGTGCCCAACTTCTGAAACCTGGTTCCCTGAGAAATGACTGTTTCCTTGGATGCAAATGTATTGTCCTGAGATATAAAATTAACTGTGTATTATGATTGCAGTTGTTGGAGAGACCTACTACCGTAGGATAATTTGCCTGCTTTCACACTTTCAATTTATATCTTTGAAATTTTTGAAGTTAAAGATCCAAACTAAAAAAATTCAACATGTCTCTCCAGAGCTCTGTAGATAATATCTACATTCTCCTAGGGGTTTATCTCATTCACTGGTAGTTTATATAAAAAATCACATTTTAATTGCTTAACAGTGTTATATGATAATCTGAAAAAGACATTCCTGGGAGCCGTAAGGAAAATTATGAAACCATAATAGTTCATCACACAAGGAGAATCACGTGTCTTGACATTGGGTTGCTTTAAAATTATAATTTCTATGATGAGATATGGAAATTAACTTATAGTGGCTGAAATAGGAAACATGTCCTTTTCATTTCTCAACTGTTGGCTCTAAGTAGGGAAATTTAGCCTAATCAGATACCTTCATACCCAGAGGGACTATAAATCTAGAAAGAAAAAATTCAGTGTGACTAGAATCTGAAACAGTATAGCCAAGCAATATTCTAATTTAGAGTCCTTTGGCAGTTGGAACAGTTAAGAAATCTCTAGGAAGTTATCACTCTCAGGAGATGGGAGAAGGCTTGGAGCCTGGACATCTGCAGTTTCACATCCCATATAGTTAGCGTTATAGAGGTACTAGAGAGGACTTCTCAACTGGAAGGAATGAGGCAAGAATTGGAGCCCTTGGAAATCTGAGAAGTCAGAGACAAGGCATGAAGAGTAGCAGGAGCAGAGCCTGGAGAGGGGCGGGAAAAAATGGCATAGATGATAGAGGCTCTATTCATCCCTCTGGCGACCAAATCAAAGTTATGATGGAAATAAGCAGCAGCAAGGAAAAATCACCTGGGATCTAGATGAACAAGCCATACAACTAGGGAGAAAACTAAGAAATCACTCTGCAATGGCAGAAGGTAGGACGAAATGAAGACGCAAGGCCGCCTGGTCCCAAAAGGCTGAGTGGGACAGAGGCTGTGGCAGCGGCAGCGGCAGCGGCAGCGGCAGCGGCAGCAGCAGACACCTCTTAAAGGGGCCGCGTCTGCGAGTGGACTCTTACAGTGACAGAACCGCTCCTTATGAGCACCAGTGTTGCTTCGGCTGTGCAGGGGGCACCAGGGACTTGCCAGGGAACACTAAGTTGTCAGAGTGAGGACCAAGGCAAGACTCACTCTGTACAGAACTGCTGGAGGTATCCATTGTTCCTCTGTTGAGCCCTCCCCCGTCCCAGTGCGCAGACTCAGCGCCACCATAGCAGAGACGTCATCAAACTGCTCCGTATTTGATAACAGAGGTCACTCTGCCCGGAGGATTCCCTGAAACTCTGCCTCTCCCAACTCCCAGCCCCACTGAAGCTACATCCAGGTGTATCCTGGGCAAGTCAGGTGCTCCTTGCTGAGCAGCACCTAGACTCACACTAGTGGCAGCTGGCCTCATTTTCTGGTGTGCCCTTTTGAGGCAGCTATAAGCACAGCATCTGTGGATTGCTTGCTGAATCTTAACAGGTGGCCCTGGAGGGGCACAGACTTAGGCTAAATTTGGCCTGCAGCTGAACCCCTCTTAGGACTGTGCCACTGGACACCTACTACACAAATCTACACTAATA